TTTTATAACTTTACACCGAGAACCAAAAATAAGCAAGGGCGAAAATAAGCAGTATCGCAAGATTTTTTATTTTATGGAATCCTATAGAAAATTAGATTTCTTTAGAAATACATTTGAATTGGTGGCATTGCTGAATGCAAAGTGGCATTAATTTTCTATTCAGGTAAAAATTCATAATATTATTTTTATTTAATTTTATTAGTTTTTATTTTTATTTAATTTTTAATTTTTATTTAAAATATTGCATGCATTAATTTCAAAAAAAAAATTATTTTTTTGATTGATTTTTGAAAAAAAGAAAACTTTTTCTAATTTCACAAAAGCTTCTTCATACATATATATATATATAGAGAAAGTTTTCTTTTCTCCTTTTATCTTATTTGACTTTCAAACTTTTTTGATTAAATCGGCTTCAATTAATTCAATCCTGGAAAGTCAATTATATTTTATTAACTATAATACTCGTTCAATATTTATTATTCAATAATTGAGTTTTTTTTTGTTTTACACGATTCAAGAAAATCAAAAAAATTTCCAATTAATATTTTTCAGAAATTTTATAGTTTTGCTAAAAAGTTTTTGAAAACACAAATAATTCTCAATATTTTTTTTTTTTAGTGAAATGTATTTTTTTTTTTTTTTTTTTTTTTTATTGCTGATCTAGCTCAAATTGAAAGCATTCCAAAAAACTTTTAGCTTGTGAAATTTTTCATAAAAATTCATAGGCTCGAGTTTTGCATTTTAAGTTTTAATTTATACATAGCACAACTTAATGCAAATTGTGAGCGAATGTTTTTTAATTAAAAAAAAAGTTGTTGAAAAAAAAAATTTTTTTTTTAAATATTGTTTTGTAAATTTAGTTTTTTTGATTCTTTTTACTGACTGTTTCAGTAATTCCCCGTTAACAATAATTGAAAAGAAATTTTTTTAAATAAATTTTAAATATATTTGACGCCCTCTGATGGAAGGGACCTTAGAAGAAAACCTTATATAGGTTATGTTTACGAGTTTAATCTTGATTAAAAGTTTCTTTTTATTTATGTAAAAAATAAAATCAGTTTATTAAATATTTTGAATACAATAAAGACTTAAATATTATTAATTTTTTATTGAAAATTGATTCTCTTTATTTATTTTCATTTCAAAACATAACCTATAATTTTTTTTTTTGCTTAAGGTCCCTTTCTTCAATGCGCGTCACATATTTGAAATATATATATTTTTTTTAAATATTTAAAAACGGAAAAGAAAATTTTAGAAAACATTTTCATTCGATCATGTAGATATATAGTTTCTCTAAGAGGAGTAAAATTGTCTTTTCTTCACCCAAAAAAAAAAAAAAAACCAATAAAATAAAACCAAAAAAAGGTGTGTCTTTTTCCCAAAGAGGGTTGGTCTGGTTCTATTCCTCTGGATTCCTATATGGAAGGTAATATTGAGTCCTCAAAGTCCTCAGGGAGTAAGTTAATAAGTTACTCCGGTTCTTTGTAACAAGGTATGTACCTTCACTGAACCATTCTTTATATAACCAGCAATAGCCACGCAGAGAGTTGCTTGATAAATTTTAATGTTGTATATATACATTGAAAGTATATAAATCTTTTTTTCTATATATATCATCACAACTACTATAATATAATATATATATTACCACAAGTAAAAGTACGGAAAAGGGATGAAAGTGCCATTAAAATCTCTGGATGAGTAACTGCTCTTTTTTACCCTATATATATATATATAAGTCTTGGTTTCACACAAGAGCTTAAAAAAGCTGACATAGTGTCTCTTTATCATTCCACTCCACCAGAATCAAGCACCTTAACAAAAGTATACACCTTTTAATCGCTTATGTGTTATAAGGGATTTATAATTTCTATACGGAAATTTTTAATACACGCAAAAAAAAAAATAATTTCTGTATCTTTTTTCATACATCATATATAAGAAATGAAAATAATCTCATATCAAGAGGATAACGTTAAAAACAAGAATATTTCCATTTTTAATGAAAAGGATTTATTATTATTTCTTCTATTAAAAATTTTCCTTTTAGTATTTTTAATATAAAAAGAAATGTATTTTGATACAAAAATAATTAGTTACTTAAATTATCAAATATTTATACAAGAAGCAAATAATTTTTATTTGAATTAAATAATTTTTAAATAAATTTTAATTTTCAATCTGAAACAAATACATATAATAATTGTGACGCGCTCTAAAGAAAGGGACCTTAGAAGCAAAAAAAAATTATAGGTTATGTTCTAAAATTTTTAAATTGAAAATACAGTCAAATTTTTAACTAATATTCAAATTCAATCTAAATGATTGACAAACTAAAATGGCTGAAGGGCAATATAATCAATTATCTTATGGTAACGTGTGGATCCAATTTTCCTAATCTTGATGGCAAATTGCAAATGAGACAAGGGTTTATTTAATCTTTGACCCCCCCTCTCTTTTTGGGATGTAACTCCCTAGGGGGTTTTGTTTTTCTTTGATGACATGTGATTAGAACACGCACCTTTTCTCCCCTAATTGTTTATAGGGTTGATCCTATATCATGCATATAATTATTGTTCGTCTTCGTGGATATTCTGATCCAATCAATGTCCTCATTAACTTCGCTGGTTTAATATATTTAGAAAAAAAAAGTCTTCCAAAGTCATGTCTATATTTAGATCAATCTTATTATATATTTAAAAAAAATCCAATTAAAAAAAACGTTTGAAAGTGCTAAATGCTAAATTGCAACTAGCGCCATCTGTTGGTTTTAGAACGTGGCGCCACCTACTTGACACAATTTTTATTGGCACTTAAAATAGAGTAGCGTACGTTACATTGAGCTCAAATTTTTTTTTTCTCTGTAATTAGTTAAATATTAATTTAGATGCAAAAATTGAGTAACCAATTCCAAATTAGTTTAAAAAAATTTACTAATTCTAGAGAGATATTTTTAATTTATAAAAGAGAAACTTTTTTTTCGCACTTGCATTTACAAGTATATACAAGTTTTTAATAGAGATGTTACTAATTGTTTTTCACCTCCTTGGAAATTTAGAAAATGACTTAGTCTTTATTAAGATCTCTTTTCTCTTAGTGTTAAGTTACATCTTCCTGGGGGGGGGGAGATTGAATTAATGAGAAATGGGGTTGCCCCATTAAAGTGAAGAAAGAAGTAGATTTACGAACAGGAGCGATTCAATTTCCCTTATATATATATACCGTAACGTCAATAAGTGTGTCAAGCCTTTGTTTCATCCCTTTATCGTCTCTCTTCCAACTTTCCACCGAATAATTTTTTTTACATCCCCTCCCCTCTACAAGAATTAAAATCAAAAATATTTTTTTTATATCGTATAAAGTGATTATTTAATAATTTTTATTCCATTCTTTTTATGCGCACTTTAATTAATTTTCTTACAAAAAAGAGTTTATCTTGAGGAAAACTTTTTAAAACTCCATTGTAAGTTAATTTTCCCTCTTGAAAAGTGATTCTTCTTTTTGTGAAAAGGAGAAAAAAAATTTTTTTTTTTTTTTTTTTTAAACTAAGACGATAATATAAAAGTGTCTAATCGGAAAGTCTCTCTGTGGCAGGCCATGTGTTTTCAGATTGTGTGAAAATTGAGTAAGAGTTTGCAAAGAAGAAGAAGAAGAAGGGTGATTAGGGAGATGGTCCATAGAGCGGCTATTATATTATATGTAGAGAGAAAGAGAGAGAGAGAGAGAGAGAGGTTTTCATTCCTGTTCAAGTTTGACACAGTCAGACACAGCGTTGCCAGGCAACCTCTCCTCTATAAGGGTAGAAATCCCCCCCCCCAATGGCGTAGATATTTTCATTGAATTCAAAAAAAAAAAAAAAAAAAAAAAAAACCCTTGATGTTTTTATATCCCCTCCATTTTGCGATAAGTCAATGACCCCAAAGAATTAGCCTAATTAGCCACTTCTTTACAACCACAAAATTCAAAGCATATAAAATGCACCTTGAATTCAAATCCTCTCATCATAAGCCTTTTAATCAACTTTTCACATACACTGAAGAAATATAGAAAAAAAATAAAAAAAAAAACTTTTTTACAATGTAAAAATTAAATAATTATTTATAAAACTCATTGTAAAAAGAAGGTACTATAGTACCGATTTTAGGTATTAAAATAGAAACAAATTTAGTACCTAAAGTTTAGTACCTAATTTAATACCTCTCGTTTTACAGTAAAATAAAAAAAGTTTTTTTTTTAATATAATTATAATATAAAAATATTTTATAATTTACGAATTTTTTAGTAATAGAAAATAAAATTCTATTACTAATAAAATTAGTAAAAAAAAATTTTCAAAAATCGTTTTCTTCAGTGAAAATAGAAGAATCTATTTTTTGCTATACTGAAGATGGTTTTTGTGATTTTTTTGAAATCGTTCCTCCCCCCCTTCCCATGGGATATGTTCTGATAAAGTCAATTGACTGTGAGAAAGGCGATTTATTTTTATTAAGCCCGATATAACTGCAAACTGCAATGCTCTCTTTCTCGACGCCTGTGGATCGGTTATAGTGGGCATTCTATGTGGCAACTTATATATATATATATATATATATATATATGTATATATGTGGCAAATGTTCCATACCTTTGTAAGATCGATATATAGACAGTAGTCAACGCCGTAAGGCTTCCTCACACCACATTATCACGTGCGAAATTCTTAATCCCTCAGTACCATTTTCTTAATTTTTTTTTTTTTAAAGATTTTCCTCAATTTTTTTTCTTTTATTCTTGCCTTGAATTTAATTTTTAAAAGCAATCTGGTCACATATTTTTTTTTCCCTTAATTAAATTTCTTACTTTTAACCGAAAAAAAAGAGAAAGAAAAATTTTAACAAAACACATGATGAGAGTTAAAAACAAAGTTGATTAATTTTGAATGATTTTTAAAATTTTTCTTTTAGATTTTAATTTTTGAAAATTTTGTAATAGAATTTTTATTTTTTTTTTTGCTTCAGACTAGCGAAGGAGGTTTTCTTGCACGCAAGGAATCGCCATTAGCCATTGAAATGGCCACTTTATCATTAAGAATCTCCATTGTGGAGAAAAATCTCACAAAAATGATGCAATTTGATCCAAGTACATCAATTTATGATGCTTGTCGAATTATTCGTGAAAAATTAGTCGAAGCAAGCAATATGGGTGAACGTAAGTTTTTATTTTATAATTAATTCTTCTTTTTTTTTTTTGTTTATGTGATTTTTTTTCTGAAAATAAAATTCCAAAATTTTTTTTCTTTCAGCCAAAGAATATGGATTATTTTTGGGCGATGAGGATGCAAAAAAAGGAGTTTGGCTCGAGCCAGGACGAAGTCTTGAATATTATTTGTTGAGAAATGGCGATCTTCTTGAATATCGTCGTAAAATGCGAATGCTTCGTGTAAGAATGTTGGATGGAATATTGAAAACAATACCAGTTGATGATAGTCAACCAGTGGCAAATTTAATGGTTGTGATTTGCACAAGAATTGGTATCACAAATCATGATGAATATTCACTTGTTCGTGAATTACCCGATGAGGAGACGGAAAATCAAAAACCAAGTAATTTTGGTACACTCACTTTGAAAAGAAAAAAAGAGGATAAAGGTGAGAGGGACGCAAAAATGGATCAATTACGAAAAAAACTCAAAACGGACGACGAGGGTAATTATTATTATTTTTTTTTTTACTGATTTTTCAAATTATTCAAAATTAAAGAGAATTTTTAGAGAATTTAAAAAAAAAATTGAAAAAAAAATTTATTTTCCAAAAAAAAAAATGTTTTCCTCTTAAATTGTTTATTATATATTTAAAAAAAAATTTCTTTTTTCCTTCCAGTGAATTGGATTGATCCAAGCAAAACTTTAAGGGAACAGGGTGTCGATGAAACGGAGACGGTTTTGTTAAGGCGGAAGTTTTTCTTCTCTGATCAGAATATTGATAGTCGTGATCCAGTGCAGCTTTCGCTTCTTTATGTTCAAGCAAGGGACGCAATTCTTGATGGAACTCATCCCATAACTCAAGAAAAGGCATGTGCTTTCGCTGGAATTCAATGTCAGGTTCAATTTGGAGATTATAGACCCGAGAAACATAAATCTGGATTTTTAGAGTAATTTTTTTTTTTTAATATTCTAATTTAAAAAAATATTTTTCTAATAAATAATAAAATATTAATTCTTTTTTCTTTCCCAGTTTAAAGGAAGTGTTACCGCAATCATATATAAAAGACAAAGGAATTGAGAAGAAAATTTATGCAGAGCACAAGAAACATGTTGGTCTTTCGGAATTGGATGCAAAAGTTTTATATACAAAAAATGCACGATCATTGAGTACATATGGAGTGACTTTTTTTCTTGTTAAAGAAAAAATGAAGGGAAAAAATAAACTTGCACCACGTTTACTTGGTGTTACAAAAGATTCTGTACTTCGTCTTGATGAAAAAACAAAGGAAATTTTAAAAACATGGCCATTAACGACTGTTCGACGTTGGGGTGCATCGCCAAATACATTTACACTTGATTTTGGTGATTATTCAGATCAGTATTATAGTGTTCAAACAACTGAAGGTGAACAAATTCAACAACTTATTGCCGGTTATATTGATATTATTTTACGTAAACAACAAAATAAAGATCATTTGGGAATTGAAGGCGATGAAGGATCAACAATGGTTGAGGATAGTGTTTCACCTTTAAAGTTAGTATTTATTTTTTTAGAAATTATATAATTTTGTTAGAATTTTCAAAAATTTTACAATTAATTAAATTCACAAATTTAAAATATAACAAATTTAATTACTAAGTTTTTTTCGGGGAGGTGAAATTAATTAAAATTGAAAACTAAGAAAAAAATTTAAAAATTTGTTTTCAAATCAGCAATTTTATTTCGTTAATAATTGCATTTTTTTTTTTTTTTTAAATTAAAATCGTCTTTCTTTGTGAGTGGATATAAAAGAAATATTTTCATATTCGCTTTTATCGATCGAGTGATGCTTCATCTTCTCGCACATATTGTTCGATTTCTCTGTGAGAAAGATAATGGTTCTAATTAACGGTCTTTTTGCGTAATTAACGTCACGCTTCACTCGATCAGTTTCCGCGTGACACACGTCGAGATTTTGTGAATATCATGGAGAAGTTTCTCAGGGAACGTGATCGACAATATTTATTAGATATTTTAGCATCGAAAATTGATAAAAAAAAATTGTAACTTTCGAAATAATAATAATAATAATTTACTAATTCATGATAATTAAATAATTAATTTAATAATATTTAAAGAAAAAATAGTTATTGTAATTCATAAGAATTTTTTTCTCAAAATAAAAATCAATTTTTTTAAAAAATAATTTCTATAATTGAATTCTAATTTTACAGAGCGACAATTCTTCAGCACGAGACAAATAATATTGGAAGAGGAAGCGTTGAAGCCGTATCAGTTGCAATTCCTGCCGTGATGAGAGCTGGAGGAGATGGTAAGATTGTTCATTTAATCATTTTGTTTATTTCAAAATGAAAAAGCGAAATTGAAAGTTGCTCTTTACTAAAAAGAGCTTCTTAATTAAAATAGTCATGAATCTTCAATAGAAGATATTAAAGTTCTTTATTAATTTTCTTCTTTCTTAAAAATCAGAAAACACTTTTTATTGAATTTTATTAGTTGATATTAAATGGAATTCAATCCGAGACAATTTGTATTTTTTTTTCTGTTTTTTAAGAATAATTATAAAAGTTTTCCTTTAAAAAAAAGGAATAATTCCTGTGACATTGTCAATATTTCAATTTAAATAGAAATTTAACTTTATCATGTCTTTCTCTTTTTAGGAGAATTCTTTTATGAGATATTCAAAGTGTCTAGTGTCCTGGAAATCCTGGAAATTGTGGAAATCGTGGAATAGACATTTGAAAGTTTGGTTCTTTAGTTTCTTTTTTATTATTATCATTGAAAATACTAATTCATTGATCATTTTTAATGAAACAATTATTTTTAAAGGATATTGAAAAGAATAACGAATAATTAATTTTTTTTTGACCACGAAAAAGCAATTTTTATTTTCATTTCATATTTCATGTTTTTTATAATTATTGAAATATTAATTAACATTAATTTTTTTTTAATAAGATTAATTTACTTTTACTAAGAAAATAATTATTTTAACATTTTTTTTTTTGTAAATTAAATTGTACTTAGTTCATTCCATTACAGTATTACATAGGAGAAATTAATAATTAATAAAATTAATAATTATTAAAAAATTACAATAATATCTAATAGAAATAATGAAAAATAATACAATAATAATTAATTGGTTTCTTTTAAAATTGTCTTCAATTTAATAATTGAATTTTCTAAATAGATTTTTTAATTAGTAAAATAAATGCTTTTAAATTTCTTAAAAGTCTAATTATCAAAAATGTGAAAAAAATGTAAATGACAATTTTTGTATTGTTATCAATTGTTTTCTTATAAAAAAAAAAAAATATTTCAATAAATATTCTAAACCTGAATAATGAAAACAAATTTTTTCTAGTAAATTTAATTAATATTTAAATGAGAAAAATTTTTGTCAACCACGCTGGATACTTTGAATATTTAAATAGTTTTTAAAATTGTAGTACAAATTACTATAATATTTATATTTGTAATATAATTACAATAGTATTTCTTACAAAGTGTCAAAAAAACCGAAAAGTTTTATTGCAAATGTAAAATTTTTATAATTTTATAAATTAATGCAATGTATTTTTTTTTTTTTGGAATAATGTTGAAAGATTCAGAAAAATAGTTTTTCGTCGATTTTTGAACAAAGGTCAACTTTCGATTTCGCAAAAATATTCTCTTCACTGAATTTTTTTTTTTTTTGAAGATCCATGCACGATTGAATCCTCGTTGTCTTTGTGTCTCCTATTATTTTGTACATAGAAGGGCAATTTTTCCAAATCTTAAGATTTACTAATTATTTTCAATCTCGGAATATTAAATAAAAAATATTGAATTATTTTTTTTCTTTAAATTTTCAATCAATAATTTCACTACATAAAAGTTTTTTAATTTTAATTTTCTAATTTCTATTTTTAATTCTTTTCATAAAATTCAATAAAGAAAAAAATCAATAAATGTTTCTAAATTATAAAATTATATTATTTAAAAAAAAAATAAAATTGTTTCTCCTGCAAATCCGAAAGTTTTGGAGAATTGCCCATTAAATGTAACGGTTTTTTTTTTCTTATTTTTTTGTACATACACAAGTTACTTTAGCTTTGAAACGAAAAGAGCTGAGCAAACGCTCTCAAGTTGAAAAGACATTTTATCATGAGTAAAAGAAGGTATCGTTTGCTACCGGATTGTGGGTTGTAAGCAAAGAAAAAAAATATAAAAAAAAAAAAATAGAAATTTCGACGAGGAATCGACCGCGACGATCGACACTTGTAAATATCGGAAAATCCATAGGATAGAATGCATGATCCGTTTTTAGGGGCACGACTTTATGGAACTGGACATATGGGAAGTGCACAATATACAACCATAAGTGGACAAGTGAATGTCGCCCATGCTCCACCAACGGTAAGAAATTTAAAAACCAAAAAAAAAAAATATTTCAAGTCTCGTGCTCACGGATAAATTTTCTCATTTAAAAAAAAAAAAATGTAAAATTTCCTAATTTCTCTGATATTCGACTCGAGAAAATCAGAATTAATTTTAAAATTTTTAAAGAAACGAAAGAATAATTTTTTTAAAATAAAAAACTAATTAATATATAATTCTTCTCTCTAATAATGGAATTTGTTCTATTAAAAGAAATTTTTTATTTTAAAGTCTCGGGTGGGAGTTAATGACTTTCATTGTGAACGGAAATGTTGATTGGTTTTTAATTATGATTTTTTTGTGATAAATAGAGGAATTCTTCGTTGGCACGAGCCACTTATCCAAGTAGTTTAGAAAAAACGCTCTTATTGAATTGCAATATTTAAAACAGATTTTTTTTTTTTTCAATAATGAAATTAAAGTGTCAGCTGACTAACAAAATTTGCTATTTATTTTCATGCTAGGCGCCTTCTATTGTGGACATCGAGTAGGTACACAATAATAAAAATATCTTCATCTCTTTTTTTGTACAATCAATTATTATTTTCTTAATTAAAAAAAAAAAAAAACTAATCTCTGAAAATACTCCTCAATTATATAATAAATGAACTAAAACTTTACTTTCAATACTTTTTATTTATACTAAAAAATTTATTTATTATAAATATATAGAATTAATATAATATTAATAAAAATAAAAATAATATAAATAGATGCATAAATCTAAATTTTTTCAACTAAAAAATATTTCAAAATAATTCTAGAAATTTATTTTTTCATGATTAAAATGATTTTTGAAAGTCGAATATCAAAGAAAATCTCGATTTTTTTTGAAATTTTTTGGAATAATTTCAGAGTATTAGCCAATTTTTTTGTTGTGTACCAAATGATTTTTTTTTCACAATATTTTTTACTATGAAAACATAAATTTTTTTGTCAGTTTTGCAGTATCTCTTAGTGCACGGCTTCAATTATTATTATTATTTTTTTTTTATAAAATTTCTAATAAATTTTTTATTTAAAAAAAAAAACAGATGCAACAAACCAAGGTGACAACTGTTCTCTCAGAACCACAACGTGCCTTACTCTCGACCATAACTGCAGGTCATGAAATCATTGAAATTGCAGAAACTGAATTAATTACAAGAGCCGAACTTCCAGAATTGGGAACTGATGTTGCATCCCTCAAATGGATTGAACGAACCATTGACACTCATAAACAAAATGTTGGCTCACAAATTGCAGCGATGAACGCTGCAACAGCACAGGTTGTCACATTGACTTCAGGTCCTGCTGATCATGTTGATCATACGGCCGTTGGTGCTGCAATCTCAACAATCACCACAAATTTACCGGAAATGACAAAAGGCGTGAGAATGATAGCCGCTTTAATGGAAGATGAACCATCGGGTGATCGGCTTTTAGATGCAGCGAGAAAACTCTGTTCGGCCTTTTCTGATCTTCTAAAGGCAACGGAACCGGAAACAAAGGAGGTAAATTTTTAAATCACATTCAAGTCTTGTCAGGCGAATGTAATTTTTATCTCGATAAATTCTCTTTCTCGCAGCCCTTCTATGTAACTTCTACTCTTTACGGACAATACGTAAGCAAGTTGTTCTTAACAAGTTCGGTGTTGTATTTTAGAATCGATAGTGCCGTTAGATTCCTTTTTTTTTTTTTTGTTCAAACAGCACTCGATTGATAGTCTCGCACTATTCAATTCCAGGTAATTTTGATTTTTTTGTTCTAAGATTTAATGTCATTTTTAGATGCTGCTAAAAAAATGCTATTTCTTTTCGAAATTAGAAACGGAAACTTTTTAGAAATTAGATTTTTCTAAAATTAAAGAAACTGTAAAAAAATTTCTTTTTCGGAATTAAAAACATTCTATTTTCCTTGTCCACTTTTCCTTCTTTTTAAATTAGAGATTTTATTTCGATTAATGAGAATTTAAATTTTTAGTAATAATATATTTCTTTTTTTTCAGCCAAGGCAAAATTTACTGAATGCTGCCTCTCGGGTCGGAGAAGCATCGCATCAAGTTCTCACGACTATCGGCGAAGAAGACGATTCAAATCGCGAACTACAGGATATGCTTTTGGCATTGGCAAAAGCCGTGGCCAATACAACTGCCGCTTTGGTACTTAAAGCGAAGAAAATTGCAAAAACCTTTGATGAGAATGATGATGCATCACAAAATCGTGTAATATCTGCAGCAACGCGTTGCGCTCTTGCAACGTCACAATTAGTCGCTTGCGCTAAAGTTGTTGCACCAACATTACATTCACCGGCATGTCGATCACAATTGATAAACGCCGTTCGTGAAGTGACAAATGCCGTGGAAAATCTTGTTCAAGTTTGCAATGAAACATGCGGTGATGAGCAATTATTAAAAGAATTGAGTACAGCAGCTGCCGAAGTCACACGAACACTAAACGATCTTTTGAATCATATTAAAACGGCGACTCCCGGTGAAAGAGCCAAGGAATCAATTCAAGAAGGTGCCGTTGAACAAATTCTCGTGGCAACGGACAAATTATTCGCCAGTAGTGGCGACGCTGGTGAAATGGTACGTCAAGCACGTGTCGTGGGTCTTGCCACTGCACAATTAATACAAAGCATCAAGGGCGAAGCTGAAAAACAAACGGATACGGAACAACAACAAAGATTACTGGCAGCTGCAAAAATTCTCGCTGATGCAACAGCAAGAATGGTAGAAGCCGCCCGTCAATGCGCAAGCAGTCCACATGACGCGAGAAAACAAGATCAACTTCGTCAAGCCGCTGAAGAACTTCGAGTAGCAACAACTGCCGCAGCGACGCCAGCGCTACGGCGAAAATTGATAACACGTCTCGAAAGTTGCGCTAAACAAGCCGCTTCAACTGCAACACAATGTATGGCCGCGTCATCCGGAGCCGCTCAACACAACACAAATATCGCCAGTCAAGAGGAATTAAACGCCGAATGCCGATTAATGGCCCAACACATCCCAAATCTCGTTCAAGGCGTCAAAGGAACTCTTGCACAACCCGATAATCCAACAGCCCAACTAAATCTCATCAATGCCTCGGAACAATTCCTTCAACCCGGTACATCAGTTGTTAAAGCAGCTCGAGCCGTACTTCCAACTGTCACCGATCAATCATCCGCAATGCAATTAAACAACAGCTCTCAACAATTAGGAACATCACTCGGTGATCTCAGATCCGCGGTAACACGAGCCAGAGAAGCGTGCGGTGGTCTCGAACTCGACGCCGCCGAAGAACTCATAATCACCCTTAAAGAAGAACTTATCGAATTTTACAAAGCCGTTGAAACCACATCCCTAAGACCACTACCAGGCGAAACAACCGAATCCACTGCTCTTCGTCTCGGCACAACATCAAAAAATGTCGGCGTCTCTATGGCCCAACTTCTCTCAGCCGCCAAACAAGGCAACGAAAATTACACCGGTAGCGCCGCACGTGAAACCGCATCATCCCTCAAAGATCTAACATCAGCCGTACGTGGTGTCGCAGCCACAAGTAATCAACCCGAAACACAAAAAATGGTTCTCATGACAGCTGACGATGTCATTGAAAAATCCCTAAAACTTGTCACCGAATCGCGTCAAGTTCTTAAAAATCCCGAGAATCCCCATAATGAAGCACATCTCGCCAAAGTAGCCAAAGAAGTCTCCTATTCTCTAAACAAATGTGTCTCCTGTCTACCCGGTCAACGTGATGTTGAACTCGCCATCAAACATATCGAAGAAATAAGCCAGGTACTAACAACCCAAGAATATCGACAAACAACCAAAAGTTACGGACAATTACAAAACGATCTCAATACAGCGGCTGCTAATCTAAATGACGCTTCTTCAAATCTAGTCTCATCTGTACGATCACCAATACAACTTGCCACATCGTCACAACAATTCACCACAGCCTTTGAAGATTTATTAAACGTCGGTATGGAAATGGCAACCACAACAACAACCGAAACAAGAACACAAGTAATAATCTCAATGAAAAATGTCACAATGACATCGAGTAAACTTCTCACTACCGCCAAATGTGTCGCTGCCGATCCAAATGCACCAAATGCTAAAAATCAATTACAAGCCGCAGCTAGAGCCGTCACCGATTCAATAAATTATCTCGTTGATGTATGCACCTCAGCGGCACCGGGTCAAAACGAATGTGATAATGCAATTAGAAATATTCAAGCAATGAGAGCCCTACTAGACAATCCCAGTGAGCCAATATCCGATGCCTCTTATTTTGAGTGTCTAGAAACTGTCATGGAAAAAAGTATGAGCCTAGGTGATGGTATGACTGGTGTCGCGAATCATGCAAAAAAATCCGAATACGATCATTTTTGCATTGCTGTACGTGGAGTATCATCATCAATTTGTGGATTAATTGAAGCCGGCGCTCAAGCTGCCTATTTAGCCGGTGTCAGTGATCCAACATCCGTTGCTGGAAAACCGGGTCTCGTCGATCAGGCACAATTTCTTCGTGCCGCACAAGCAATTCACACAGGTTGTCAAAATCTCAGCAATCCAACAAGTACACAACAACAAATTATTTCAGCCGCTACAATGATTGCAAAACACACAAGCGCCCTTTGCAACGCTTGTCGTCTTGCTTCAAGTAAAACAAGTAATCCCGTTGCAAAACGACATTTCGTTCAATCGGCAAAAGATGTCGCCAATTCGACAGCGAGTCTTGTTAAAGAAATCAAAGCACTTGATGTCGATTGTTCGGAAATGAATCGTCAACGTTGTGCTGAAGCAACAAAACCCCTTCTTGAGGCAGTTGATAGTCTTTGTACATTTGCAAGTTCACCAGAATTCGCCAGTCAACCAGCTCGAATATCAATTGCTGCACGCGCAGCCCAGGAACCAATTACAAACGCTGGTAAATCAATTATCGATGGTCTTTGCGCAATGCTTCAATTGGCAAAAAGTCTCGCTATTTCACCAGAAGCACCACCCACATGGCAATTGCTATCAAATCACAGTAAAAATGTAAGCGATTCAATAAAATCATTAGTTGCCTCAATACGTGATAAAGCACCTGGACAAAAGGAATGCGATGCCGCAATTGAGAAACTATCGATTCGCATACACGAACTTGATGATGCATCATTGCGTGCTGTTTCACAATCATTAATACCACATCGTGAAAATACAATGCAAGGATTCACCGATCAAATGGAAAGTAGCGCAAGTGAATTACGTGAAAAATTAGAACCATTGAGAAATGCTGCAAAATATGAGGCAGAAAATGTTGGACATTCTATTAATCAGGTTGCACTTTATTGTGAACCATTAATATCGGGTGCAATTGGCGCTGCCTCAAATATGGTACACACTAAACAACAAATGATATTATTAAATCAAACAAAAACTGTCGCTGAATCTGTATTGCAATTGGTTTATATCACCAAGGAATCGGGTGGTAATCCAAAAGCATTGAATCTTCATGCCGAAGTTGATGAGACTGTTGAATCGACAAAAGATGCATTACAAGAATTACAAAATACTTTGGAAAATATTTCAACGTCAAATGGAATTGTTACTGGATTAATTGATACAATTACAAGAGCAATGGTTCATTTAGAAGATCATAGAATGTCAACAATTGATACTGTTGATTCGTATGTTGATTATCAGACAAGAATGGTTGAGGCTGCAAAAGAAATTGCACGATTGGCTCAAGAAATGGTGAGTATTTTCTTTTTTTGAATTAATATCAGTCTGCCAATAATTTTATAATGTCATCCATCTTAAAATAAATTTCAAGGCATTTTTTGAAATTAATTTACTTTTAAAGAATACGATTTGATTTTCTTTATTAAAATCATATTAATTGAATCGGAATTATTTTTTTTTTAATATTTAATTTAATTTTGAATTTATTTTTAATCTCACGTTTTCTGAAAAGTCCCAGTTTGTTCAATGCCAATTTCTTCATATAGCTGATCTTTTATTTTTGACTTATGAAATTTTCTCTAATTTTATTTATAGTCAACCAAGTCAACAACGGATGTGGCAAGATTAGGACCACTTGCTGTCGACATTTCACACAAATATACACAGTTAGCGCGCGATACATCGGGAGCATCAGCTGCAGCATCAAACGCTGATGTTTCAGCAAGATTACGTACAGGTGTTCAGGAACTTGGACGTGCTTGTGCCGATATTGTACGTGACGCTGGAAATTGTCAAATGTCACCGGGCGATTCATTTTTTCAACGTGAAGTGTCGGAGGATAGTAAAATTGTCACTGAAAAAGTATCACAGGTACTTGCTGCATTACAAGCTGGATCACGTGGTACACAAGCATGTATAAATGCGGCAAGTACTGTTTCGGGAATTATTGGCGATCTCGATACAACAATAATGTTTGCCACTGCGGGTACACTTCACGCTGAGAATGAAGGCGATACATTTGCCGATCATCGGGAGAATATTTTAAAAACAGCAAAAGCACTTGTTGAGGATACAAAAACATTGGTAGCCGGCGCAGCATCATCACAGGAACAATTGGCTGTTGCTGCACAAAATGCCGTTTCAACAATTGTACAACTTGCTGAAGTTGTTAAATATGGTGCAGCAAGTCTTGGTAGTCATAATCCTGAGGCTCAGGTAATGTTGATCAATGCAGTAAAGGATGTTGCGTCAGCTCTTGGGGATTTGATTCACGCTACAAAAGCTGCAAGCGGAAAACCTATAAATGATCCAAGTATGGCACATCTCAAGGATTCTGCAAAGGTACGTTAATTCGGAAAATCGTTTTTTTTTTTCCCCTCGTGATTAACATTTTTCTTTTTATTTAACAAAAAATCTTGCTTTTGAGCTTCATTAATCCAAGTTCAGTGGAATCTTTTTTTTTTCATTTAGAAAAGCATTTTGATTTTATTTTAAATTTTATCCACTATTTTCTCATTAGGAAAAAAATATAAACGAAAATTTTAATAATCCCTGATTTTAATCCTCTTGTTCAATAAATTCGAAAAGAGATTAGTATCACTAATTTGTGTTTCGAAATATTCATATCAGATTTCATAAGTTTCATATTTTAAAATATCCATGATTTTTCTTATCAATTTACATTCTAAATTTATCTTTTAGAACTTCTTTGCTGAACTTATTTTCTTCGATCGATTTTAACTAATTTTGATGTTTATATTCAGAGCTTAAAAAAAAACCCCCCATCGAGTGACTAAAACCATTAACAGCGATTAATAATAATCTCCTATAGGTGAAAAAGAAACAAAGCACAGCATTTTTGATCTCGTGACGTACAAAACTAACATTGTTTTTTGATTCTCCATTTGAATTCTAAAAGAAAAAATTTATAACCCGTCCTTTTCTAACTCGAATTTTTTTTTGGGTGGACTTTAATTGACAAATTAATTTAATTTCAAAATTTATCGATTGACTAATTTGATAATTAACCGATTTTTTTTTAATTTGCGTCTTACTAAAAAAAAAAAAATTTTTTTTTATTTGTTTTAAAAATTTATTAATTAGGAATTTCACACGATTTCCAAAATTTATTAATTTTAATTACATTTAAGAAAGAAAAAAAAATAATTTCTTAAATAATGAAAATCCACTACAAAATTATTCCCTTTTTCGGTGCGAATTGACAAACAAAAAATTAGATAGCAGATTAGAAAAGTTCTTCGAAAATATACCAAAATCGAAAATTCATCGACATTATTAAAGTCCACCTTGAAATCTAATTGCTAAACTTTTGGATAGCCTGTCAGTTTTTTTTTTTTTTTTAAACCTTGAACTAATTGATTCGATCATATTTTTTCAAAGGTAGTTGCAATGTGTGTGACAAGCAATATTTAAACACCAGTGGTCTGAAAATTACGAAAATATTTGAAATTCTTACTTTAAAAAATTGTATTTAAAATTTAAATAAGAATTATCAAAACAAAAAATAAATAAATTTCAGACTACAGTGTCGTAGTGATTTGTGTTAAAAGAATTAAAGTAGAGGCAAAGGTTTGTTGCTTAAACCAGTGTCAAAAACGATCATTTAAATATGATTTCAATATTCAAATGATTGATAACATTTTTAAATCAAATATCTCAATCACAATGAATATATGATCGTGGAAGGACTCTGAAATTTTTTTAATTGGTTTCTGATATTTGCTTGCATGTTTGCTGGCAAATAATTTATTGTCGTAAATTTTTTTTTTTTTTTAAATTAAATTTTGCTCGGTGGACTTTGATATATATATAAATTATGTCTAAAATTGACGATTTTGGTCTCGACGCTCTTAAATAGGTTTTAGAGCAGCAGCTACAGCAACAGCTGATAACTTCGAGCGACATCGCCGGCTCAGAATCAGAATGGTTCGTCTCTGATCAAGAGGAGGAACTCGTTAGACTTCTCTCCATCTCCGAGAACAATCAACCCGCTCAACGAACTTCTGATCTTCTACTGCTCATGTAGCAACAGAAAAAAATATTCCATCCCATCGCGTTTCTTTCGCTTTTAAACGTCACATTTTATTATCCTCTCTTTGAATAGGAAAAGAATCCTCTTTTTCTTAAACTGTTTTTTTATAATTTATTAGAGGAATCTATATTTCAATTATTTTTTTCTGCGGAAATAGTCGTTTTTTTTTATTCTTTTGTCTTCCATTGAAACGAAGGTTGTGCCCTTTCTAAAATTTATAAAAAGAAAAATTTTTACAATTATTTTTTTAATTGTAGAAATAATTTTTGTAATTCTATTTAATCAAAAAGAAATAAATTTTTTTCTATTCAATAATTTTTATTAGTATTATTATTGATACTAATTTACAAATTGTCGTATCCAATAAAAATTAAATCACAATGTTAGGTACGTATCGTTTTTATCTTGTGCTAATAAAAAAAAATTCGTGAAAATCTTTTCATACTAATATAAAAATGCTACAAATTCTTTTTTTTTACTATCATTAACTAATTTTCCTTCTATACTTTTATCATATCTTTTGAATTTAATTTTCTATCTCACGATTTTAATGAATAAGATTAATATTTTTTTTTTAAATTAATATATACAAATTAATAATATTTTCATTTTTTTTTTACAGGTAATGGTGACAAATGTCACGTCTCTATTGAAAACTGTAAAAGCCGTGGAGGATGAACATACAAGAGGAACACGTGCATTGGAATCGACAATTGAGGCAATTGCACAGGAAATACGTGCATTGAGTACACCAGAAAGTCAACGTACAAATGTAACACCAGAGGATCTTGTACGTTGTACAAAAAGTATAACAACATCAACAGCAAAAGCAGTTGCCGCTGGAAATAGTTGTAAGCAAGATGATATTATTGCAGCGGCAAATATGGGACGTAAAGCAATTAGCGATATGTTAACAATATGTAAAAGTGCCGCATATAATTGTGCCGAAACTGCTGAATTACGTGATCGTACATTACACGCTGGTCATGATGTTGCAATGAATTATCGTGAATTATTACAAGCAATTCTTCAAATTTCATCAAGACCAAGTGATGCAAAACATACATTGCCACCAATATCAAGGAAAATTGCCCAAAGTGTCACTGAATTAGTAGCTGTCGCTGAACTTCTCAAAGGAAGCGATTGGGTTGATCCTGATGATCCAACAGTAATTGCTGAAAATGAATTATTAGGTGCTGCAGCGAGTATTGATGCAGCTGCAAAAAAATTGGCCAGCCTTCGACCAAGAAGAAGTATTCAGGTGAATTTTTACACATAAAATTAATTACTATTTTTTTTTTTTTATTACAAGAAGAAAAAATTCTAATTACCGTGAGATATGTTTGATATTCTTGGTTGTTTTAAAAATAATCGACCAGGAATCAAACATATTATTACGGTGGTTGGATTATCTATCATCGTTGAAGAAAAGTGGTGAGAAAAAAAAAATGTTTCCCTTCTTTTAATTTTTGTTTTTTTAAAATAATTTTTTTTCACTATTTTTCTAGGAGACAAATGAGGATATGAATTTCGATGAAATGATACTTGAGGCTGCAAAATCAATAGCCGCTGCAACATCGGCATTAATAAAAGCAGCGAGCGCAGCGCAACGTGAATTAATAGCAACGGGAAAAGTTGCACGAACACCATTAACATCATCCGATGATGGTCAATGGTCCGAGGGTTTAATATCAGCCGCAAGATTAGTAGCAGCTGCCACTCATAGTCTTGTTGAATCAGCGAATGCTCTCGTTCAAGGAATTAGTAGCGAGGAAAAACTTATATCAAGTGCAAAACAAGTTGCAAGTAGTACTGCACATTTACTCGTCGCCTGTAAAGTTAAAGCCGATCCCGATAGCGATAGTACAAAAAGACTTCAAGCTGCCGGCAATGCTGTGAAACGAGCAACCGATAATCTCGTTCGTGCCGCTCAACAAGCCATTCAACAAGAAGAGGAACGTTCATTAGTTCTCAATCGTCGTATGGTCGGTGGTATCGCCCAAGAAATTAATGCCCGTTCCGAAGTACTTAGAATTGAACGCGAACTTGAAGAAGCACGTGGTAAACTCACAGCAATTCGTCAGGCGAAATACAAAAATCGAACTGATATTTCCGATACTGACACTGATGCCGATCAAAGCGGTTACGACAGTTACAACAGGTACAAATATATATACTCTATTAAATAAAAAAAAAAATAAATTATTAATTTGTAATTAATTTCTTACAGCAAATACGAAACAAAATTCTACGATTCGCCGAGTAATTATTCAACACTACAATCAAATACTCTAGATCAATCAAATAGTCATATAAATCATATAGTTAACGATCGAGAGAATCTCGTCTCTCCCGAGAAGGTTTATTCAACACAAAGTACTTTAGAGAAAAAAATGAAAGAATGCAGTTTTCAAAATTCGGACAATCCTTATGAATCTGTGGATCGAAAATATTCCGACAATCAATTTATCGATAATAAAAGATATATAAATGATAAATATTATCATGAGAATTCACCATGCCAGTATAGTTCAATTGAGAGGAAAATTAATCAAGATACATCTGAACGTTATACACCCACACATAGTCCCTATCCATCTTATCAAACTCCTAAAAGTCCTTTATTTGCAAATCAAAGTCCAAGTCCTCAATTAAATTCAACATTATATCCAAAATCACCAACACATTATACCGCCTATACTCATGGTCAAGAATTCATTAAATATACACCCGATCCAAATAATATTCATAAATATATGAAGGACGATCAATATGAAAAATTTATTGAAGAGGAAAAATATTCAAGTGAACAAAAATCATATGAACAAACAAATTTCAGTGATCAACAACAAAATTATTTTCCAAATTCTGATAGATTTGCAGCACCAAGTCCAATGAGTACATTTAAAATGGATAATAATTCTTTTATCACATCAACACCACAACAAAGTCAAAGTTTTAGAAATGTTGAAAGTAAAGTTATACCAGGCGGTAGAATTGAGACAATAACAACTAAAGTTTATTCATCATCAACACCAACGAATTTTGAGAGTATCGATGATAAGAAAAATGAATTTTTAAACACTGGCAATGAACTATCGACATTTAAGAATATCGATAACGAAACATTGGAACAAAAAATGTTGAAACAATCAATGATTGAGAAAATAACTGAAAAGAAGACAATCACGACGACTACCTCCACTCGTCAGGAATCCAGTTCGAAGAATTTCCGATTTGACGACAAGTAGGTTTAATTTTTTTTTTGTTTAGCGCACAATAGACAAAAACGTTTCGTGTCTTCTGATAATTCGAAATTATTTTTTTGATGAATCTTTCTGAGGATTCTGTCTTCCGATGAAAATTCTGATGAATCTTCAGAAAGCAATGACAAAGGGATAATTTATTTTGACAAAAGATCTGTAAAGGTGTTAAAATCGTCTTGGTTAAATTATGAAATAATAAGAGGATTTTGTTATTAACTTATATTAAGAAAATCTACTTACAATTTAAGATCATGTTCAAGTTAAAAGAAAAAATTATTTCTTTTCTCTACTATTTACCAAAAAAAAAAAAAAAATTATTTTCTAATCTAATGAAAATAATTATTCAGCAAATTACAAATTATTATTTATAAACTAAAACAAAATTAATTTTTACATTAATTAATTAATTTTCATTAAAAAAAAAAACAAGATGTCTTGAACATGGACTTAATTTTGTTTTAATTAATAATTTAAAACACTTTTTACGATATTTTTAATTCTCTATTTATAAATTTAACGAATTTCGATTAATTATTTTAATTGTGTCCTTGTCTAAGAAATTAATTCTATTAATAACTAAAAGCAGGGAATTTTTGAATTATTAATTAATAATTAATAAGAGTAAATAGTTTCGATTTCGTGTTCGCTTTTTAGCAAGATTATTATTTTATTTTTTTAGTTTTTAACCGTGTAATTAACGTTAGGATTATATTATATAAATATATATATAGGTATAATAGTGAATGGAGCCTTAGCCGCGCGGCCTTAGATAATTATTAATTATTATTATTATTATTATTACAATTTAGATAAGTGCCCTTAGAAACGAAACGTGCTTTCGAATTATAGCCTTACAACTTAAACGAAATTTTCAAAGATAACTCGAAAAAAAAATTCCAATTCGAAAATATTTACAATTTTCGAAATTCAAATTGTTGTTAAAAAATTTAGATATTCTTTTTATTTAAACACGAATTTTGAATAAGTTGTCGGTATTTTTTTTTTTTTTATTTTAATTTTAATATTACTTATATTTTACAAATTCTCTTTTTAAATTAAATTTTTAATTTAAGGCCACACGTATTAACAAGAGAAGCAACATATCATTTAATTTTATTAATTTTCCAAATCCGTGAGAAAAATTTGAAAAAAAAAATAAACCACGGATTTTCCACTAACACTTCCGCTTTCTTGACTAACATTCTTTTTTTTTTTTCTTGTCAATTTCGTAATTGCCCTCTTATTCTCTAGGCCTTTTTCTTTTGCTATCTTTTTTTCTGTTTTTTTGTGTTTTTTCAACGAGACTTATTTAGCCTTCGTGAAAAATAAAAAAAGTGCAATCACATAGGCATTTTAAATTTTTAAAAAAAACTAATGTTACTAGAATGTAAAATCTAAATTTTATCATAAATTTTGTTCTAGTTTTAGAAAACTTTATTTTTTTTGAGCAAAAAAAAAAAAAAAAATGTTTTATCAATTGTTATTTTAAAAATATACACCAAAAAATCAATGCTTTACTAATAAAGTTACACTGAAAATGAAACGACCAAAAAATGCTTTTTCCATCGTTTTTTGAAAAATATATTCTGTTTTTGTAAAAAAAAAAAGAAAGAAAAATTAAAAAAAAAAATAAATGGAAAAAAGCGTGTCATGGTCAATGAAAGTTTATTTGAGACTAACGGATATATATATATATATATATTATGGAAATATTATTAATATTCTACAATATATTATAATAATAATATTATTACTATTATTTTATTATTATATTGTATTATTGAAAAATTTCTATTGTTAACGCGTAACAAGTGAATGTGATTGTGTTTACAATAATCGTAATTTTTTTTTTTTTTTTTGAAAATCTAACGATTTTTTTGATCGTTTTGATCGTAACGAAGTAGATGGGAGAAAGATTGTTACGAAAATCTATTGTGCTGCCGTCTTTATTATCCATTATTATTATTAATAATTTTATTACCATCTTTGTAATAATGGCGTTCTTCCTTACACACGAGACGAAAAAAAAAAAGAAATTGTACATTTTAAAAATAATAAAATATTTCTAACAATTTATATATATTGTAGTTGTAGAAATAATGAAAATTTGAAATGAAATTAAAAATTAAATATTCTTAAATAAGAAAATTAACTTTAAAAAATTTTTTAAATAAAAAATTCTTTTATTGAATTATATTTAGAAGAATTGAAAGAAATTGACATTTAAATAGTAAATTAATTTTATTTGCAATCTGTTTATACAATATAAAATATAATTTCATTGACTTGGTTCATTTGGTGATGGTGTATTGGTAATAATAATTTCAGGCCTTAAAGATTTTTCAATAAATCTTGGTAATTCAAATGCTGCTCGATGAACACCATCGCTATAGTAACGAATTTCCATAGAATCTAATTCTCCATCCGTGAATATTTTTTCTGGTTTTTTGAAAATTGTTTGCTAAAAATAAAATTAATTCTGAAATTTTTTCATTCTATTTACTTTTATTAAATTAAATTTTCAATTTTTTTATTTACATATAGAATTTTTTTAATTTTATAGCTGATAAAAAGTGTCGAAATTTTTTTTTTTGATACTCACTGGATTCAAGCTTCCTAAAATGAATCCAATTTGACCAGTGGGATATGTTGGAACCGAGACAATTCCATAGGAACAAACAGGAAAAATTGATTGACAATAACGAAATGTTCTTTGTACAAATTCTAAATTGGCCCATGCAGTACCAGCTTGACTGCAAATTATTCCATTTGGTTTTAAAGCCGATTTCATAAGATTAAAATAAGATCCATGAAAGAGACTTTCGGCTGGACCTAAAAATAATTATGCAAAAATTTCGGTAATTTTTTTTTCCAAAAATATATTTTTTTAATTTTATTATTTTTTTGTCTATAATTTTATTTATTTTTTAATTTCTATCTTTTTTTTCCCGCAGTTTTTTTTTTTTCATTTACCAACAGGATCGGAACTATCGGTGATAATGATGTCAAATTCATTTTTATGCTGCTTCATAAATTCAAAACCATCGCCAACGCGTAATGTGAGTTTTGGATGCTCGAGGCCTTTTCCCATAAATGGTAAATATTGTTTTGATACTGTTATCACCATATCATCAATTTCCACTTGGGTAATATTTATAACTTCTGGATGTTTTGCAACTTCACGTGCAACTCCACCATCACCACCGCCAATTATTAAAACCTTTGGTAAAATAATTTACAATATTGAATTTAGATTTGGAAGAAAAATATAAATTAAATTTCAAAAATTATATTTTTAAAAAAAAATTGAGATTTCTAATTTTTTGGAATATTTTCAATTCTTTTGATGAATTTTTTCTTTATAATATTAAAAAAAAAAAAAAAAATTAATAATTATCGGAAAAAAGTTCAGATCAATATAATATTTCGTACATTTTTTGGATTTGGATGACTACAAAGTGGCATAAAAGCAATCATTTCTTGATATGAGAATTCATCTTTTTCGACACATTGAATAATTCCATCTAAAATTAATGCTCTACCGTGTGCTTTTCTGAAAATATTGTCAAAATTACTATATTTCAATTAAAAATGATAATTAATTTTTTTTTTTCATAATTATTGATTACAAATAATTTTTGATTAAAAAAAAAAAAAAAATTACGTGTCAATAACTAGAACGTCTTGATATTTAGATCTTTCATGATGAAGAATTTGTTTGACTTCTAAAGAAAGTGAAATTCCCGGCCAAAGTTCATTTATTTCACTAAACCATCCTTGTTTCAATATATCCATTTCACCAGATGTTGGTTTCAGTACATGACTAAAATTAGCAAAAACATTTTTTTTTTTCATATAAATATTAAAATTTTATCCATTAAAAATTCCTTGAATTTATATTATTCTCAAACCTTTTTATCTAATGTGTAAAATGATATTTTTTTCTCTTGGAAGAATTTTTTTTTTTTGCTTACCTTTGATTTTAATTTTTTAAGAATGATTACTAAGCAAAAGTTGAATTATCTGTTACTTTTAGAAATTTTTTTTTAAAAAAATATAATTTCAATTTGATCTCAACAAAATATTAATACTTGTGGTTTTATCTTTTCCGGGATGTGGAATCTTCATCCTTTCTTTATTTGTCACCAAGAATAATATAATTTTTCACATTATTGTTTTCTTTTTCTTTTTGAAATAAATATTTTTTTAATTTATAAAATTTTTTACACGGGTGAAATAATAATTTTTAATTCAATTAAAAATATTTTAAAATAATTTTCCAATAATTTTAATAATTATAATTCTATTATTAATTTATTAATTATTAATAATATTATAATTATTTTTAAAGAATTTTGAATTATTTTTCTATTTTAAAAGTAACATATGGAAAGATAATTATATTTTGGAATTTTTAAAAAAATTTCTTTTATTTTACATAATGTAATAAAATTTTTAAATTTCAAAATAATTTTTATTTCTAGAATTAAGTGATAATTTTTTGTTTCTTTAGATAGATTTTTGTATATATATATATATTTATTTATCAAAACACGTGTCTCCAGAATTATCAGAACTATGAATACGTAATACGTAAATGATTTACAAAAAAATATACATACGTCACAGAAATTGATTATCAAACACATATATTAGGAAGTAATTTTACTTTAAAACGTTCGAAACGATAGTTTAATCAAAACTGACGAATAAATGAATTTTTTTTCGCTTTTAAGTGGGAGAATAGTTTCAGATAATAATGACGTTTAAGATAATATTATTCCGCGGATCTTGATAATCTGAAAATAATTTTTTTTTTTTAAATTAAACTATAAAATAATTTTATTAATTAATAATTATTAATAAAAATAATAACAGTTAATAAAAATAGTCACAGAACAATTAAAATAATTAAAAATAATTATTAGAATAATAAGAATAATAATAATAATTATTATTTTTTAATTATAATTTTATTTAGAATTTTAATTCAGTATTGAAAACGTATGTTTATCTCGCGGCAAACTACGCCGAAATTATATCGTTTTGTTTTTATTGACCAATAACCTTAATTCATAAAATAAGCTCCACGAGGCGCCACTGATCTTTTATTTATATTCATTTATTTTTTAAAAATATTAGACATTATATTTCATGCATAAAATAAAATAGAATAAAGAAAAATATTCTTTAAACAATTTTTTTTTTGAATTAAAATTATTTTATTCATTTCGCGGTATTAGTTTAAAGATTTAAATTTTCGGAACTTGAGTCAATTGCGCGCGCAGTGAACGCATGCGCAGAATGCCCGGCAGGTCACATGATTTTTTCACTTTCCCCCTTGCAACGCGCCATATGCCGTTGAGACATGGCGACGAGTAGCAATAATTGTATAGTTCTCTCCTGATTTTCTGTTCATTTCTTTGATAAAAAGTGATTTATTTGTTCAATTAATGGGTAATTGTGATTAATTAAAGTAAATGAAAGTTGATATTACAAGTTTCGTTTCTGTTTCGGTGTTATTTTCATCATAATTTTGTGAAAAAAATGGCAATGCTCGCTGAACCTCGACGAAAGCAAAAATGGACGCTGAATCCACGAGGAAAACAATGGAGCGAGGGTATGTACAATATTTATTTCATCATTTGTTATATTGCATTGTTGATAATTTAATATTGCTCTTTTTTGCTTTCTCATTTGAGGAAGCTTTGTATTTTATTCCATTGTCATAAAAAAAAGTTAACAGATTGTAATTGCAAGTTTTGGCGGAAAAAATATTCCCCTCCCTCCCCCTTTCGTAAGTGAATATATTCTTTCCTCATTTTCTATATTTCATTGTTGATAATTTCGTCTTTATTACTCTTTTTTGTTTTCTCACTGATGAAGCATTTTATTTTTTTCCATTGTCATAAAAAAATTCATGGTTATTCTTGCAAATTTTGTCGGAAAAAAAAATTTCCCCTCTTCCCCTTTCCCGCCATCATGAGAAACTATATTTTTTCGTCATTTTTATATTATATTATTGATCATTTCTTTTTTATTGGTGTTTTTTGCTTTCTCACTGAGGAAGCTTTTTATTTTTTTCTATTGTCATACAAAAAATTCGCGGTTATTGCAAGTTTTGGCGGAAAAATATTTCCTTTCCCGCCTTTGTAAGTTAACATTATTTTTTCGTTATTTTTTACATTATATTATTGATAATTTAATTTTTATTTCTCATTTTTGTTTTCTCACTGATGAAACCTTTTATTTTATTCTATTGTCATTAAATAATTAAACGTTATTGTTGTAAGTTTTGGCGGAAAAATATATTCCCTCCCCTTATTTTTGCTTGTGTCTATTCCTGGAACGTGAATTTTTTTTTCAATGTCGCATTTTTTCACTTTACTGTTAAAGATTCCAATAAATTTGGACAGAAAATGCTAGAAAAAATGGGCTGGTCAAGTGGAAAAGGACTTGGAGCTCAGGAACAAGGCATGACTGAACATGTACGAGTGAAATACAAAGACGATCAAGCTGGTGAGTAAAAAATTTTTAATTTCCATGAATTTTTAATTGATTCTAAAAAGTTTACTTTTATTTCGAACTAATATTAAATATAATATTAAATGACGAGCTGATATTAATAAAATTGTTTTCAAGATTATATTTATATTTCCCAAATTTTTTTTTCATTGAATATAACCTCACTTTTTTAATTTTCGAGTTTTACGGAATTTTTTTCTGTTAAAAATTTTCTAGGTTAGAAAAACTTTTTTCAAACAGTTTACAATTTATTTAATATCATTTAAGTTTAATTAATTTATATATATATTTTTTTTTTGATTGAATATAATATCACTTTCTTTCATTTTCAATTTTTACGAAATTTTTTGTAACTGGAATTATATTGGATTGAAAGAATTTTGTAAATTAGAAAAACTTTTTTCAAACTATATTCACTATTTATTTAGTATTATTTCAGTTTCATTAATAATTTATTTATCTATTTTTTATTGAATGTAACCTCACTTTTTTAATTTCCGAGTTTTACGGAATTTTTTTCCGTTAATATTGGAATGAAAAAATTTTCTAGGTTAGAAAAACTTTTTTCAAACTGAGTTCACGATTTATCATTTTAGTTTAATTAATATAATTAATTAATAATAATAATTAATTAATTAATATATTCATTTTATTTTGTTGGAATATAACCTTACATTTTTAATTTTTATGAAATTATTTATTCTAATATGTATAAATTATGTTTTTTTTTTTTTTTGAAAAATTTGTTTTTGATTTAATTAATACATTTTTCATTTAATTAACATTTAATTTATTTGTCAATATAAATGACGATTTCTAAATTGTTTTTTCTTTTTTAAGGCATCGGTTTTAATAAAAATGATGAAGATAAACAATGGACTCAACATCAGGAGAGTTTCAATGATTTATTAATGAGTCTTCAAAAAAATCAAAATATGGAACAAACGGAAGTAATGGAGACTAAAGAAATCACATTAAGTGGAACGTCTTTGGAGGAAAAATCGAAGCAAAGCAAAGCTCGAGTGCAGTAAGAATATAAAAATAAAATATTTATAAATTACAAATTGCTTTATTATTGTTTAAATTAATTAATATTGAAAATTGTTAAATTACGAATGAATATTAATTAATTAATTAAATTAAAATCAATAATCAAATACGTATTCTTTAATTTAATAATATTATTTAATTTTTTTAACATTCAGATTTTTACAAATTTTTAATAAACTTTTCTTAATAAATAATTGTAATATTTTATTAATTTGTGAATTTAATTAGAGATTTTCAGTTTAAAAGTCAATAATTTGAATTAATAATTAAATCAGAAAAATTTCTTCGATTCTATTATTATTATTATAAAAAAAAAATAATTTATTTCTTTTTTCAGCTATCAAAAATTCACTCGAGGAAAAGACGTAAATAAATATAGTTCCAAAGATTTGGCAAATATATTTGGAAAACGAACACTTGACGAGGAGGTAAAATATGAGGAAACAGAAGTGGAAGAAGAATTTCACGCTGAGCCGATTGGTACTCAAGATAATACTGCCGGTGTTCTCACAATAAAAGGTGGAAATATTTCCGAATATTTCAATAATAAAATGTCGTTAATAAAAAAAGAGAACTTTAATAATGTGGAGAGAAAAGGAGATGATGATGATGATGGTGATGTGGACAGTGAAAGTGAACGGTATGTTGGTTTTGGTTTTAATAATATAAAAACTGATCAATGTGGCAATCATTCTCAAAGCGAAAAAATTTCAACGAATTACGCTTTTGAGAATCCTTGTCTAGATTTAAATTTATCACCACAAGTTATCAAGCCCTCGAGGAAGCGAAAAAATTGTGGATTCGATAACGAGGGCTTGGACTTGAATTATACGGATGATAAATGTGATACGCCGAAAAAAAATAAATTAGAAAATTTTGAAATTTCCGTGACAACCGATTGTTTTGTGAATCCGGCATTAAATTTAGATACTCCCGAGAGTAATACATGTAATGGGGCTGAATTTGAAGTAACAAGAAATGAAAATAATGAATTGTCTTTTGATGATTCTCGTAGGAAGAAGAAAAAAAAGAATAAAAAACAACGAAAGAGCGCGGAAATAATTGAAACGGGTTTTGATAATTGTGCATTAAATTTAAATTTACCTGATATTGATGAACATAAAGGGGCGGAATATGAAGTAACGCGTTTTCAAATGGGTGGTGGTCTTGATAATAATGCATTAGATTTATCCGATGAGAATTGTGGCAAAAAACGTGTAACTTTTAATGATTGCGTTGAATATAACACCGATGTAATTAAAAAGAAAAAGGGAAAAACGAAACTTGATAAATTTGAAATACAAACTAATAAAATAAAACGTAAGAAAAAAAAATCATCATCCAATGATTTAGAAGAAGGTGGAATGGTATTTATTAATGAAGCACTCAATGTTGAGACAATAAGTGAAGAAATTCATGATAATGAATTAAATGAATTGAATGAGAGAAAATCACGTAAACAAAAAAGAAAGAAAAATCGACGAATGTCAAATTTAGAAACTATTGAAGAAGCGCCAGAGGAAAATGAAGAAGATGCAATTTGTGAAAATAGAAAAACAATAAAAGAGAAAGATGTTATTTGTGATCTTGAAATTATAACTTTAAATGATACAATAGAAAGTATCGAGGTTATTGACGATGAAATACCAAAGAAAAGTAAAAAAAAGAAAAAAAAACAAGAGATAATTGAAAATGTCATTGATGAAAATGAAGCAAGTGGGACCAAGATGAAAAAAAATAAGAAAAAAGATAAAGAGAACGATAAAGAAAATGAAAAAGAAGAAAATGTTGATAATACCGAGGAGAAGAAGAAAAAGAAGCGAAAGCGAAAATCAAGTGAAACTTGTGAATTTTTTTTGGATTTAGTTGAGGAAAATGTCGAAATAAAGGAGAATGTGGAGGAAGTAGTACAAGAGAAGAAGTCTAAGAAAAAAAGATCGAGAGATCAAATAATAATTGAAGAAGAAAAAATTCCTGAAGATTTTACACCGTCAAAAAAACAACGATTAACGGATGAAGTGATAGAGAGTCCACAAACAATTTCAAAAAAATCAAAAAGTGTTTTTAAATCCATGTTTTTGAAAACTAATATCAATTTCAAAGGATCAAATATTAATGACATTAAAGGATACGGAGTTGATTGATTGTCAATTAAATTCCATTTTTAATTTGTTATAAAAATTTTTCTTTTTTTAAATTAATTACGAAACTAGGGGGTGAACTTTATTATTTGACAAGTGAATTTCGTAATTAATTTTTGTTGCATAAATTTGAACAATAATAATTTTTATGTACTATTGTACATATGTGTGTAAATAGGTTTTGATGTGTGTTACGCAGATTATTTAATATATATATACATTATTATATTGTAAAATCACACATTATTAGTTAAATTAATTCTAATAAGAATTAATTATAGTCAACTAATTCACCTTTCTTCCTCATTATTCCAGGATTCGATTTAATAAAAATGATGCATTTTTTTTTAAATTGAATTTTAATTATAATTAAGAAAATTTTCGGCGAAAAATAAGAAATTTTTTTTAAACCAATTTACGTTTATTTAATAAACAAGTTATATTATAAGTTTTATAAACTAATATATTTACAAAAAAATAATTTGCACTATTTTTTATGCAATATTATCATAAGCTTGAACAAATTCTTCCATTGATCTCATCCTATCAATAAGTTTAGTAACAACATCAATGCCTTCATCACTTATTTCAACTAATGAATGTGGAACAAATTGTTCTTCCGCAGATTTAATAATAAATCCTTTTTTTAGTAAATTATTTTTCACCACCATTAAGTGCAAGGGATTGCAAGTAAACTGAAAAATAAAATTATTTTCTATTTTATTGTTTTCAAATATTGATTATTTTTAAATTTTTAATGCAAAAGCTAAAAATATATTTATGAAATGATTTTAAATTAACAAAATTACTATAATATTTTTATTTCAAAAAAAAAAAAATCAACATCTTTAAAAATAATTATTTCTCAATACCTTGAGATATATTTTATCATCCTGTTCAATTTCCGAAACATCCTCTGCTCCAACTTCTATTGCGACATCAGTTGCTGCATCGATGTCTATAGTTTTTTCCATTAAAATATGACCCTCTTGATTAAATACTGAATTTATTGATCCATCTGTTAATTTACACCTGTGAATAAAATTTTCTATAAATTACTAATTTTCTTTTTTTATATTTGAGTGAGAAAAAAAAACAACATATTTTAGTCAATATTTTTTATGAAAATTTTTTTCTCAATATTATTAATGATTTTTATAACTTGGATAAAATGAAAAATAATTTATTTTTTTTAAAATGATAATAGTAGTTCAATTATAGAAATATAAAAACAAAAGTTTTGCTTTAAAGTATTTTTGAAAATAAATAATTTCAACATACATGCATTTCTTGACGTGATGATTAATAGTAATTTTAGTTGTTGCTAAATTATCTGTTACTAATTGAAATATAAAGAAAGATCCATCTGGACCTTGAACACTAATATGAAAATTGTGATCTTTTGTTTTTGTACGTTGAAATTTTTCAAGATACGCTGTAATTGTTCCATTTGGTACTTGTTTCTTTTTTGCTTCATCTATCCAATAAGATAATTTTAAATTTTTATTTGGATTCGCTTCACCATTAGCTGTAGGAATTATTAAAATTAATTTTTACAGATATATAAGAAATTTATTTTTATTTTTTCCTTTTATATTGAAAATTAGAATATTTTTCAAATAAGCAATAACTTTTTAAACTAGATATTATGAGATAAAAATATTTAAGGAGGTTTAAACCCATTAACATAACCTCAAACTAAAAAGTAGTTTTTAATAGAACTAAAAATATATAAGTTAGTGAACAATTCTAATTTTTATCCAATTTTTATAAAACAAAATATTTTTAATAATATTTAATAAACAGAATTGTAGAAAATCTTTCAAAGAGCAAAATGAGCTATTATTTTGTAAGAATTGCATAAAAATTACAATTGTTCACCAACTTAAATAAAAAAAAATATATATATATAAAAAGTGAAATAATTATTAATTAAAAATAAATTTTTGCGCAAAGTAATTTATTTTAAAAATTATACAATTGAATCTTTCAAAATTTAATAAAATTAATTTTATTTATAGTTTTATTTGTTGTTAAAAACCATTTTTTAGTTTGAGGTTATGTTAATCGGTTGAACCTCCTTAAAGCAACAGTTTAAAATAATATCACATGGTTCTAAAGTTACACAGTTGAAAAATTAATTAGAAATTAATTAAAAAAAAAAAATTATAAAAACCTGCTATTGCTGCTCTTATTTGTCTCAAATATCTCATTATCATTGCGGACTTTTCACTATCCTGTTTAGCTTTTGTATGTTTAATATTTTGCCATTTACTGTGGCCCTTCAGTCTTATAAATTCTTTAAAAGGCGAATTATTCGTTGATCTAAATAACGGTCTTAGTATTTTATTCATTTTTTAATAAAACAAAATTATATTAACTTTCGATTATCAAAATTTAAAATCAAATCGTCAATTTAAGGTTATGTTCAACTTTCATTTCTTTTATCATTTGAGTAAAACTCGTTGAGAAATTAGTTCACTTTTTTTTTTTTGCCAATGGCGCTGCAATTTAAAGTCCTTACCATGATGGGTAATTGTTTGATTGTTGTTAATAATGTTTTCTCATTAAATAAATTATCTTCCATGAAATCAGTATAAAGTTAATTAAAATTTGTTTAGATGGAATTAGTGTTAGGAATATTTAAATTATTATTACATTCTCATTTAAGAATTCCAAGTTTTTATCTTTTTAAAAAAATCACAGATTATTTAAATTTCATGATTCTTAATAAAATTGATGAATAATAAAATAAATTTTTATTTTCAGATAATCATTCCATTTGGTTCAATTATGACAGAGAATTGTTTCGATAAAAATTCGTTGAGTTTATTTTACCCGTAAGGATGAAAAAAAAAGTGAGATGAATTTTGTTGAGGACTTGTTTATTTCTTGGTAAGTCATTTGATAATCATATTATTTTTTATTTTTATTATAACCATACATTCGACTGATTGCCCCAATTTTGCATTTTTTATAACTAAAGAATTATTTGCCATTTTAAAAAAATTTTAATCAAATTAAAGTGAAAACAAAAATTATTCATGCGCCCTTCAACTTTTTTTACATAGGGGAAAAGTTGAAAATTTATGAAAAAAATTGTTGCCGCGAAAAATATATATATATGAATATTAGGACGTTTTCTAATCGGTGTTTAGATCGGTACAACTGAAAATGGCAGCTTTACGATTTTTGCTACGATTTGCGGGTTGTGGCTTTGTGGTACGCCCACATTGTGAAAGGTTCTATCGCGAGCGGGGTCCCTGTTTACTTTACGGCTTGTGGCCTCCGTCACCGATATATGTACAAACTAGGAACCAAGTAAATGCACTACATTTCCCTCTATTATTATTATTATATATGCCACAAATTTTAATAAAAAAAAAGAATGGTTCCGTTCTACATCTTAAAATTGACCTACTTTTTAAAAAAATTAATTTTTATGATCTCACCAAAAATTGAATAGTCCACTTGGAAATAATTCATTATAAGTCTCTGGATGATCGTCGAGAAAATTAAATCTTAATCTGGGCAGCGAAATTCTGCCACTCTTTCGAGAGTTATTTAAAATTCCTTTCTCAAGAAAAAGACTTAAATCTGCTTTATATTCGAAATTTTCTCTATTCGTATATATAAAATTCCCTTTCGTGAAACATTTCAATAAAGATCTCAGGAATTTTCATTTTATGCTTCTTGAGTAGAAAATTATTTTGTAAATTTTTGTAAAATTTCACTCGATATTGTATTTTGTTTTTATATTTTTTTGTCAAATTTTCATGTCAATGATTAATTTTAAAATTCACATTGAAATTCTAGAAATTGATTAATTGCTTCTAGTATAAATATTCATAATTTTTTTTTTTTTTTTTTTTATTTTTTTATCTCCCTTACAAGAATGTATTCTTATTTGGAAACTGAGTGTTATCAGGTCGTATTTTTTGCAGCTATCTCCTGCTTTACATTTGCGTAGCATTCATTTTGAGAAGAACGAGATATTAATTGTGCCTCGGGCAGTAACTAAATCCCCGGGAATTTTTACGGCTCATCGGTATAAATCAATTTTGCCGTCGACAACCCTCTCTTGAACCCGAAAGCAGCAACAGTTGTATAGTAATGGCAGAGTCGGGTGGAGGAGGGAGGGGGGGGGTTTGCTCCTGTCGGAACATAAATTATCTTCTCTCTCTCTCTCTCGTTCCACCCCTTTTCAACCCCACCCCACCCCCCTCTTTATACTTCCACCCTAATCCAACCCAATGTGCACCCACCTATCTACCCACTTTGCAAAATAGAATTTGTAATCCAAACTCAACTATTTTGTCTGATTTATTTACTGTCCTAGCCAATGCAATTGCATTCGCAGCCAAGACTTTTTTGTACATGGCACAAGACGTATTTCTAATTTAAAGTGACGAAACACTTTAATTTAGTTGAGATTTTTTTTTCGTTTTTAAAAAATACATTTGCTTAATAATAATAAGAGGGAAATGTAGTATTTGTAATATATTAAAAATAAATTTTTTAATTCTTTTGGTGCGCATGATTATTTCATAAAAATCATTATCCAGATAGCAGGTAAGCTTGCGGAAAGCTTGCCGCGCAATATTGACAACCTTGCACGGCAAACTTGCCGCAAGCTTCAAATGTCCCACCTGACCGAAAGCTTGCATGGTAAACTTACATTGCAATCTTTCGGTAAGTTAAGCATGCAAGCTTTCGGTCAGGTGGGACATTTGAAGCTTGCGGCAAGTTTGCCGTGCAAGGTTGTCAATATTGCGCGGCAAGGTTACTGCAAGCTTACGTGCTATCAGGGTAGTTACAATTTTTATTTTAAAGAATTCTATTACATATAATCATTTTTTTTTTGAATCTTCGAATTAGCATTTGACAAAATTCATTTCAAAACTAATTTTTACTTTACAAAATTTTTAAATACAAATATTGCATTTGATAGAATTTTTATTTTACAGAATTTCTCTTTACAACAAATTTTTATTTAAAAGATTTCTAATTTAACCAAATTTTAATTTAGCAAAATTCTCATTAGAATTTTAAGTGTCTCGAATTTTTTAATGCTAGAAATTTCAAATTCGCACTGAATTTTAATTTGTCCAAATTTTTTATTTGTAAGAATTGTTATTTGATTGAATTTTTAAAACGCCGAATTTTCATTTATCCGAAATTGCAAATGGCCCTAAACAAATAATCGATAGAAATTTTTTTTGCGCTGTTTTTAAAATTTACCAATCACAATTTTGTAATTTTTGATTGGTCAATTTTAAAAATCGCACTAAAATCTTTCTGATGATTGTTTATTCGGCCATTTTTGGAATTTCGGACAAATGAAGATTCGTCATTTTAAAAATTACATGAAATAAGAATTTGTGCATAAAAAAATTCGAACAAATGAAGATTCGGTAAATTTAAAATTTTTACATTTTAAAATTCGAATCACTTAAAATTTTGTTGAATGAAAATTATATGCTAAATGAAAATTTGGTTAAATTAGAATTCTTTTAAATAAAAAATTTCGTAAAGAGAAATTCTGTAAAATAAAAAATCTATTAAATAAAAATTTTGTATCTAAAAATTTTATAAAGTAAAAATTTGTTTTGAAATTAATTTTGTTAATTCGAAAACTGAAAATTCATCCAAAAAAATAATTGTAACTAATAAAATTCTTTAAAATGAAAATTCTAACTAATTATTTTTATGGAATAATCATGCGCCTTATTCTTCTACACTGAAAAAAAATTTATTTGATTCAAATAATCTGTTACTGGACTATAATATCAAATTTATTTGTACTACTTATTTGTATCAAATAATTATTATTTTAAGTCAATTAAATGGTATATGTTTCGCAAATACAGAAATTATTGGTTCAAATCATTTTATTTAATTCAAATAAAAAATTTTTTTGCTTCAAGTAAATATTTATTTCATAATAGTCAAGTAATTGATTTTTTAAATCAAATAAATTTTTTTTCGTATTATAAATTTTTTTTAATAATTTTCAAATTCATAAGTATATTATTTTACTAAAATTATCATATTTCATAAATTTCTTGTCGGGATAAAATAAAAATGTAATTTTCGCATTTACATCTTTTGAAAAAAATTATATATATTAAATGAAACATTTTAAATACTTTTTAATTAAATGTTTTTTTGCTTGAAAAAGGAAAAATAATTTTAATTACTCAAAGAATCTGTTGTGATGTTCTGTTTTCCAATTAACTAAAACAAGTTTTCTTTTTCTTTCTTTTTTTTTTTAGTAATTACGAATTTCAATGTTAAACTAAATTCACTAGCATCTTTTAAATGAAAAAACGAAATAAAAGAATATTAGCGTTAAAAGAAAAGCTTTTCTTTCAAAAGGTCCTAGAATAGAAGAACTTTCATTCTAGAGCGAGAACTAACCGCTTTAAGTTCGTTCAGAATCGACTTTACCAAACCAGCACATAGTTGAAAGTGGGGTGTTATCGGTTACTCCTTTTTGTTTCAGTTGAATAAGCACAATTCGTTCTGAAAAGAGAAGGGTGCTCAGTTTTATTTGATAAGACTTTCTTTTCCTTTTGCACTTCCCTATTTCATTTCGCAACTCCAAAGTGCAGTTATTGACCTCACTTTAAAAAAAGAAAGAAAGAAAAAAAAAAAAAAAAGAAATCAATCGTCATTCTTTTAAAAAAAGTTTCACACTTATTATTTGTTAATAATTTGAGTTAAAAGTTATTAAGTTTATATTAAAAAATGCTAACTTTAATGAATAGACTTTTTTTTATTGAAGTATTGATTGCTTTTATTTTTTGCAAGATAATTAAGTTTTCATTGTTCTGGATTTTTCATGACGTGAATTATTATATATCTTTGCGTTCTCTATTGAGCAGGTATACGACTATATTATATTGGTGGATGAGTGTGCATCGTGCTCAATTTTACGATGGTAAACGTGCGCTGGAAGTAGACGGGCAGTTTAATAAAGGCGTGGGTGTGTGCTAGGGGTGCTAGTTAGCGCCATGTCCGGCGCCGACGACGACGCCGTCTGGACGCCTATGGCCTCTCAATGTACAGCGTCGTATTCTCTCTATCTCTTCTTACTCTTTGCGTCCTCTTTCTATCTAAACACGCCAAATCAAAATAACTTGCGCTCCATCCAAGAGATACGATCCTTGGAAAAAAAAGGGCACCCTTCGAAGGTACATACAAACCAATTTGAAACCGTTCCTCCAATTCTCTATACTATACTATGACTCAAATAAGCATCTCTAGGCTCTCTCTCTCCTTTTTCTTTCTCTCTTCTTATTTCCCAAGCCTACAGCGAAGCAATTTCTACTGTATTCCGTTTCAATTAACCTTCGAAGTCTTATTTACTCCTACTTTATTCGCCTTCACGTCTTTATTATTTCTCTTAGGGTCGGAAAATTGACTCCAACTCAGAAATTAATTATTGGTGAT